CATAATATATAGTTACCTATTTTGTACAGTGTTCCGTACTATCAAGGTACAGATAATTTTGTGCAGAGTTCAAATTTTTTTCAGAACTAAAATTGGACAACATAAACTAACTTAAATGTTATCAAAACTTAGTTGGTCGGGAGTAATATTCGATGCCATTCACCACATGAAGATATACAAATAAGTTAAAATAAGTTTACTATTAGTTTGGATTAGGCAACATTTGTTCACCCCTCGTTCTACTATAGCAATTCTTTTTTTTTTTTAAGTAAATATATTTGAACGCTTACATCATAACTGCTTGATGATCCATTATAATTGTTTTTAATTCATCACATATTATTAAGTCGCGTTCGTTAGGTAACTTGTTTTTTTCATTTCTACAATCTACAAGTAAACACAGATGATAAATATCATGTAAACTTTAAAATAAAAAGAAACCGAAAAAAAATGTTAACAGAGCATTATTGAGTGCAATTGTTTATTTAATACCATACACTGATTGTTATTGTATAAGAGAAGTAAAGAATTTATTACAGTTTAATAATTGTTTTTAAAATATATTATGACTTATGAGTTTTTAAAATCGGTCTAAAATTACCATACTTAATGCTTAAATACAGAAATTTGGTTCTTTTATTATTGAGTCATTATAACAATAGTTTTTTTTTTTTTTTATTGATCGTGAAGCCCGGCAATTATGGCCATTAGCTGTTTGTTTTTGTTTGTAGGGGAGGAAATTGTAGGTTAGATCACTCGCTCACGAACAACTGTCTCGCTCACGAACAACTGTCTCGCTCAAATGTTAAAACAACAGGTTAGATCACTCGTGTATTTGTTTTGCAGAATATTTGATTTGGGCACCCGTAGGTCGGGTGGGGGATAGCGGCACTTGTTCTCCGGACACCGTGACTTGCCAGAAGAAAAACGCCTTGGTCCGCTCGGCCACTTCGTCTCCCAACAATAGTTAAGTACATTTCAATCAGTAGGTATAATAATTATTTGAGTGAATTAAAGAATTTATGCCAGATCAACAGTATTGTTCTTAAAATATATTATCGGGTTTTAAATACAGAAATGTTCTTCTTCAATGTGTAACTGAAGCTTAAATTTTAATGATTTTAGACATTTATTTGTAAATTAATGAATTCAAATCAATTGTATATGTTGTATTATTGCTGTATTTCAAAAATTATAACATAGATATTTAAAATTCTCATTAAACATTCAAATACATTTATAATTTTTAATAATTTTAAAATAAGTATTTTGAATATTTTTGGGTTATTTTTAAATGTTTGTAATGTTTCTATATATGTCATTTTTGTCTGAGAATAAAAATGTTGGACTTTTTATTCAAGATTTCTTTGTAAGTAGTTCATACCACAATTTTTTATTAGAAAATATGATACAATCAAAAACATAAAAGAATCAATAAAATATACCATTTACCCACACCTAAAAAAACCGTACTCACCAACTAAAGAAAGATTGTCGCCAAGCGATTTATGTCCAACTGATTCGAACGCGGTGCAAACCATTTGCATCTGACAGCGTATAGCTAAACAAAGTGTCACCAGAAGAAAATCAAATAGGAAAAATGTTATTAAAAATAATACTAAGAACAAAGCCTCGACCATGAAAAATATATTGTAGTGTTCATTGTAAGTGTCGTCGGTTACAAATAAATACAAATTGAATAAGTTATGGCGGTAACTGCTGACTGAACCGTCGTGATTTTTGACCGGTAATATATCGTTCGACAATGCCAGGGAACTAATGAAGTAAATTATAACTCCAGTGAGATACGTGACAATTATAATAGTCGTTATAAGCACGGATTGCTCTCTCCAACGATCCAGTATATGGCTGTCTCGGAGGCTATGCGATGTACAACAGTAGCATGTGATCGACAAACAGTTCCATATGTCGTCCGAGTAGTGGACGATGACCCACATCGAGTAGCACATGTACAACGAAGCGAGACCTTTCCAAATATAATCTATGCTCAAAGGCATATTGTCCGTCCAATAGTACACAACGCTAGCGCTCAATATGACCGAACTTATACACATAAAGAGCCCAATGAATATCAGAAACACGTGGTAGATGTTTTTTCCACGAAATCGCAAGGTCCTTGGATCCAAGATTTGATATATACCTGTACATTTTGCCAATGTTATGTTGAATACATGGTTCTGATCGTCCCGAATATCCATCATAAAAATTACTATTTAACTAGGTATATAATATAGTGTAATAAAAAAATAATAAAATTACTAATGATGCATAACGTCTGGTAGTTTCACAGTATTGAGTTCTGTCCATTCGCGAGTTCGATGAGTGTAATACTGTCCACTTCGCTGTTCATTAGAGAATTAAGTTGTCCACTGGTATAGAGCTCGTCGACTTTTATTATATTATTATTGATGTTTAAGGTTTCATACATTTATTGTCACGAAATTATTTAAATATCTTCTATTCCTTTGTTATTCAACTGTGGTTTATCAGAATTTCCTATATTATTTCACATTCAAAACCATTAAATTATTCAGCTGCTATATTAATAATTATATATTTCACTTTTTGAGGGGGCTCTGTATTATCATAATGACTTAGGGGTGTTGAATTGTAGACGAATTTTTATACTATAGTATCAAATAATTTATTAAACGTTTATAAATAAGTAACCAGGATTTTCATATAGGAAAAATAGGTTTACCTAACTGTCGTAATATTTTATTTATATTAGAGAATAATAATAGGTTTAGATTTAAAAAAAAAAAATAAAACAGAAAACACACTGTCGACAAATTTGAATATCTTTATACTGTTTTAATAATTAACTTATAGTATACTAACTGCAGGGGCCTGGTTGGTTGAAAAAAAATTGCTTGCGTGTCCGGAACAGAAATATTTCACATGCATTTAAATATCTAAAAATGTAAAACAAAATATCTAGACCTGTAATATCATGACAGGCGACAGCATAATAATATATTTTTTTTAAATATTTTGATACATTAAAACTTTTATGGACTCTATACGTGGTTTCTCTAAGATCGTAAATCAAGTAGGAAACGATACCTAAAGTATCAACTTTAATGAAATAATTTTTAGATAATCTCAAAAATGTCATGTAAACTAAATATACCTACCGATAACAAATGCAGTTTTTAATAAATATCTATAAAGGTTGTTGATAGCAATGGATAACTATTTATTTAAATTAATGTATTGCAACACAACATTGACTTGTGAGTCGTGACCAGTCTATACTCCACGCCATGAGAGAAGGAATCCGTTTCACGCATGCAGACTGTAGAGGCTTAACCACTTGGGCCATTTAGTATACGCAAGTCCGGATTATAGTGTGGGGGGGGGGCAAGGGGGCATGGTCCAGGGGCCCATCTTTATCCCCAAAATATATATTTTTAACTCGTCGAATACAGTTTTCAAAAAATTATTATTATTAAGTAGATATATAGTAGGTATAGTAGTAATAGGTATGTAGATAATTTTTTTTTTTTTTTTTGAGAATTTTATATTACCGATTTAACTATTTAAGCAAACAAAAAAGGTAGTTATAATAAAAACATATTTAGCTCGTGTAATGTATTTTAGTTAATAGTATTAATGCTTATTAAACTAAACTTTAAAGGACCATAGTTAATAACCTAGCGAACCAAAATTTATCATTTGACTGTCAATATATTATTCAGAAAAAAATGTTACCAGAGTCCATCAAAAAATATAATGGTTACCATTTGAAAAAATAAAGAAGATTTTATTATTGGTACAACTGGCCTGTTAAAAATTTTAAAATGTCGTAAAAAAATTCCTCCCTTAAAAATAAAGAAATGCGTCTTTTTTTGTTTTAATGAAATTCCATATCATTGAATATTGATTGATAATTGTTAGAAAAAAACTCGCGTACAATACCATATGGTACACCCTGTTTATTTTTTGTATAGTAAAAAATTATACAATAATATAAAGTCGTTAATATTTAATGATACAATTATTTTGAAGTTAAAGTTGAAAGGGGGCACACTAAGTGTAAGGTATCCGGGGCCCAATTGATCCTTAATCCGGGCTTGAGTATACGTCAATATGGGACGATGAGCATATAATCGAAAGTGTTCCGGTCGGGACACGGGTTCCTTCTCTCGTGATGCGGAGTACCTATACCTAATTATGCAAGAAAAGTACCCATATTAATTTTCATACTAAGTATTTGTCATGCACCTTCAATTATTACTTCAATAATTTATTTTTATCTATAACTCAATAAACTTTAATATGTCTTATAAAACTTTATTTTACTAGCTATTAAAATTAAAACATTGCTATACTTTATAGGTTAACATAAGTTTAAATGTAGATAAAACTTTATCTATTCTTGAGTGCCCGGAACATCAATATTTCACACGCATTTAAGTATATAAAATTATAAACATTGTAAATACGGTTCCATGTCTAAATATCTCCGAGACAAAATATCTCTAGTAAAAAATATCTCCGATTTAAAATATCTCCCATGCAAATATTTTATATTAATATTGATTTTTTTATAACTGCAATTATTAAAAGTAGATAAAAAACTGATGTCTAAAGTGATTACCGATGTAAGTACATTTTCTATTAATAATGTTTAGAAAATAATCCGAAAGGCAAAAATAACTAGTCACACTGACCAATTTGTATTATCTGATATATTTTTCATGATTAAGGGCCGATTTCACCAACACAGTTAATCACGGTTAAGATTAACCTGAGTTTTAATCGGCCGAATTTGGCCGGTTAAATATCTGTTATCAGCCGATTAAGCGTTAACCGTGATTAACTGTGTTGGTGAAATCGGCCCTAAGAGTGCAATTACAAACCATAGGATAACGATTTTATCGAGGTAACGACTGTATCAATACGACAGAGTGTCAGTATAGACACACAGATTGTATCGATTAACCTAGTTCCAGTTTCACTATTTAGATTTAAAAATGCCTCTACAATTTATTATAAGTCAAAAAGGCAACAAATTATTATTGCATAATGGATATCTTCATACGTTCTATAAAGAAGGTGTGAACAAATTCATTTGGCGTTGTTATGAGTACAAAACATACAAATGTACTTCATGCTATACAACCACTCGAGAAGAAATAGTATTTTCCATACAGCAAATAAAAGCCTGTAGATTTAATTTAGTCAATTTTTGGTACCGAAAAATAAAGTCTTTGTCAGATCTTCAAAAATTGTACAAGAATCAGTCATGTACTATCGCTAAATGGTTACCATTATGTTTTGGATTAGCATTTTTACCGTCAAATGAAGTGGAAGATGCTTTTTTGATTACCAAACTTAACTCCAGATTTTAATTTAGCTTATTTATCCGAATTTTCTGATTATATATGAATATTATATCAATTGAAGGATTTCCATTTCACCTCAATTTGGGCTGAACCTCCAACTGACGCACCTAGCACTAGGTGAAGATATGTATACCAATATTATAATAATATTTTATCAAGTATTTTTGTTATTAATACTTATAAGTTAATTCCGATGTAGGTACCTACCATAAAATTTACCCACCCAACAAAAAGGTATCATAATATTATTAGATTTTTTTTTAAAAGTCGGAAAAATATTCGAATTTCGAATTCATTAAAGGTGGGCAAGTGACTTTGCTGCTCTGCTAATTATAAAACAGAAAAACGTTAATTAATTTTTCCGAAATAATTTCATTTGACATACTTTAAAAGTTTCAAGTACCCACGAACCATATTTTTAAATTACAATAAAGTACCTAAATATATTATTTTATCTATTGATGTATTACATTTTTTATTTAAAGGTATACAGGTAAATACCAAAATATATTAATTCAGTGTACACATATTATATTTCACATTATAACCCATGTTATATCGTGAACAAAATTTGGTCGCAAGGATGGGGAGGTTATCCCCCAATAGATACTCTACAGGTGAGAGCACCGGTCAAACTGGACTCGAGTTTTTTCATTTTTTCTAGGTATGCGTGTCAAATATCAACAATGGCAGAACATTATATTATTTTTTTTCTTGGCTTCCTCAACAAAAAAAAAGTTGCTCTGAAGCACGCTAGGTTACAAGTGGGTCACTGTATAATAGATAGTATTAAATTTGAATTAAATGATATAAGATTATTGTATAAGAAAAACGATTCTGAGTGGAGATGGTATGTCAGTATTAAGACATATATAGTACATATCTATGGTATTAAAAAAAAAATTAAATATAATAATGTAGGTACCTGTAATAAATTCCAAATTAAACATATCACAATATCTATTAGGTACTTATAACGCGTTATACGTCAATAACAAACCGTGATACTATCATAGATATATAGTAGTATACTTTAAAAGTTTCAAGTTTCAGTTATTCTAGGTTTTTTAATATGAAATTGTCCGTAAACAGCTCTAAACAAATCAAAATATTTTGAAAATTGTATCATGTATAGAAAATGCAAGTATAAACAACCAGTGAAAATTGCATGTAAATACCTTTATTTGTTTTAGAGTTACTCCAAAAACAAAAATCGATTTTGAGGAAAATTGATTTTGCGTAAAAATTCTCTTTTTTTCTTAATTTTTCTTTTGTTTTTTTCGGATTTTTTGAAAATTACTATGAATTTTAAATTTTGACGTACCAAATGCACCAACAATATTCACTTTCCCAAATAACAAGATAGGTTCTGAAGTTGAAAATCGAAGCATTACTTCAACTACTTTTCGTGTAAACAGACAGAAGAAAAAAAAATAATAAAAAAAAAACACACATCATTGTAAAATCAATACATTCATCGTTCGACTCAGAATCTAAAATGTTAGATGTGTCTACTCCCTATGCGTGATAGCGTGATGCATATTGCATAAAATATTTATAAGTTTTACAACGAACCATCATATTCTAGTTGGTAGTATCGTATATTATGCCGATAAATTCAGACATAGGTACACAAATAATATTATAAGCACTTTATTGAAAAAAAGGCATTCAATATAGTCTTCGTGTCACACGATCGCCACACTTAAACCCTTTTTTCAACTAACGATATTCTTTATATAATTTAATTTAAATTTTTTAGGGTTGTGGTGTTTTTTTCAATTTGAAAAAAAAATCAACTAATATGTTATAATATATATTACCCTTTTTGGCTATTTTTCAACACCCCAGGGGCACGGGAAAGGGGTGAGTAGTCATGACTAAATTTAACCAAAATTATCATCTTATAACAATAAAAAAAGTTAGGGGGTCCTACAAAAACAATTAGAATGTTCAAAAATTCAAATTCAATGTCCTTATTTTTGAACATTCTAATTGTTTTTGTAGGACCCCCTAACTTTTTTATTGTTATAAGATGATAATTTTGGTTAAATTTAGTCATGACTACTCACTCCCTTCCCGTGCCCCTGGGGTGTTGAAAAATAGCCAAAAAGGGTAGTTTTGTTGTTTTTTTTACTTAGCTAAAAAAGTATGATACTTAGCGAAAAAATGTATAGAACTTAAATTGTAGAACAATAGTTTCAATAATAAGCTTAAATATTAATTATTGAAAGTTTATTATTTTTAAAGAAAAATAATAAAGTAAAACTTTTTTAATTTTTTCGCCTAAATTGATAATTTGTAGTTATTTAAATATATTTATTGAATGGGCGGAGTCATAAACAAAATGTTTGTATAAAAATTATAAAACTATATTTTCTAACAAAAAATGTATGCATAAATATTATATATATATTATGTATAACGTTAATTTTTATTTGAAAAATTAATTTTTTATTAATGATGTGGGTTCCTACACTGTTTATTAAATATTTTATACTTAAATGTTCAATATGATATACCTAAAAGGGCTTATCGAAAAAATATAATAATAGATAACACGATACCATAATTAATTAAAGGTAGAAAATTCGGAATTTTACTGCACTTCCAATGTTATGCAGGTATATTTAAATATTTTATTAAATCAAAATGTCCTAATTTTTCACAGATCGACTCTTTTAACGAAATCCTGCAAGCTGAATTGTAATGTCCTAGTAAGATATTGCACAGCATAGTACCTACCATTGAATGTAATGTCATTAAGGCGAAATACTGTGATGGCTTTGCACTGCAATTTTCATACCACGGATATGCGCTGTAAATAAAATATACATAACGCGTTATTATTATAATCACACGAGCAGGTAGTATTTTATGTTATATATTTTCCATGCGTAGTATTTTGTAGAAAGTAGTAAATTGTTTTGAAAATAATATAGAAACGTCGCAACGCGTGGAATATTATATTATGTGACATTGCATGCCGTCGCAACTTGCGTGTTCGAGGGGGCAATTTATAATAAGTAAGTAATATGAAGTATAGGTAGGTTATAATGGTATACATTTTATTTTTTGTTTCGTTTTTCCGATCAGCAGGTCGAACTGTTTGTTTGCGATAATAGTATACCTACCCTAACCTATTATAGTATATTGTAGTACCTATAAACACAAGTACACAACATAAATATATAAGTATATTTATATACTACAGAGCGGGGGACGGAGTGGCCGATGCATTGGCTTGATACATTAGTAACGGGCTGCATTTTTCTTCGGGCAAGTCAAGGTGTCCGGAGAACAAGTGCCGCCATCCCCCACTCGGGCATGGCAGACGCCTACGGGTGCCCAATGAAAAATTCTGCCAAACCCAACACACACGTGTTCACCCCCCCCCCCGTTACCGACATAAAAACCTACAAAAACCATACACCTAATGACCATAGTCGCCAGGCCCAAGATCAACTAAAAAAAAAAATACCTACAGAGTTGTTCAAAATGATTTATCAATTACTAAAATATATTTTTTGTCACGCCTGCACCGAAAGTTTGGTTTCCGATAGCAGTCGAAGCGTTGGAAAGCGTCCTTTTTCCGTCCAGCGGGCGGTATAAAGTGGGAATCCCTAAAAGTGCCGGACGGTAAGGTGGAAATCACCAAAAGTTCTGCCCAAACATTTCCCTGCATAAACAGACACTGAAATCGATACCAAGGTCCTACAAAATATAGACTTTTAGTTAGATCTTAATATCTTATAATCATATTATTATGACCTCCATGCGTGACGCTTAAAATAAATAAAATCAAATCGTTTCTTTCATGAAATATTGTTGTCGTAGAATATTATAGTCTAGTTGCTGCATGCCTGCATAGATCCCTGCACTACATGACTACATTTGCAGTGATCGATGAATGCAGAGGCGTGACAAAAAACAGTATGTGTGGCTCGTGAGGGAAGCCAATTTCAGAATTGGGCGAAATGGGGCCGTCGTCTGTGACTGAAATAGCTCACTTCCCACCCTTTCCACACAATAAACTATAGTATTTATAAGTTTAGATGGTAATAATATATTATATTATAGATATGAATATATGATACGTTATATAAAACAATAATATTTCAGATTTAATTGTTGGTAGGTACGGGTTGTACCAATGTCCTCATACTTTTTCTATGTGTTCTTGGTCATACAAAACAGTATCTATATAACATTTTCGGAACTCGCATTCGCTCCATGCACATTGCACATTCGTTGTAACTTGTAATTGCAGACTCTGCTAATTCTTGATACTGTAATGGCGTGGTATAGACCACGTAGGTAGAAGCACTAGTATACTAACATATAGGTACTAGGCAGTCCTGTAAAGAATACTTTTGAAAAGTACTTGAGTAAGTATTCAAATACATTTTTTTTTAAGTATTTAAGATACTACTCAAATACTTTAATTGTATAGTATTTCAAATACTACTCAAATACTTTGAAAAAGTATTTGGAATAGGTACTTTTCAAATACTTTTGGTTTTTAAAGTGGGTTTCTAATTATTGTAATATAGACACATAGGTAGTAAATTTATAATCATTTTTATTTATTATTTATTAAATAAATGTTTATTACATTTTTTTTTTTATTTTTACATGAAATTTACAATCTGTTCTTAACTAGAACAATAAGCAAATGTGCATAGGGTATTTGAGTATGATTTTTTTTTTGAGGGAAGAAACCACCCATTGGTGATACTACCTATTTTGTGTTCTTAATTCATTCTAAAATTTCTAAAATTATTTCGAATAAAAATAAAATGTTCGAAATAAAAAACCAAAGTATTCAATACCAAAAAGTATTTAATACAAAAAAAGTATTTAAAATACCATTCAAAATACTTCATGCTGAAAGTATTTAAAAAGTTATTCAATACTTAAAAAAGTATTTGAATACTTTTATTCAAATACTTTTACTCAAATACTTTACAGGACTGGTACTAGGTACACAGTACTTCGGTCTTTACCATGTCTACATGGCGTAAGATAAGGTGACCTAGGGAGCCTAGTGCAGACCATAAGACAAATCGTTTTGAATAACCCTGTATTGTAGGTACATAATGTCTAAAAAAGTGGAGAACGGCTGATGACACATGCCATTAACATGCACTTGAGACATTTAGATTAGTACACGGCGGTTCCATTTAGAATTTAGAAACAAATATAAAATAATAATATGTTTTGGATAGCATTATATTGCATAATACAACCCTAACACATGTCATGTCACTAGGAAATGGGTATAATACGATAATCATACAAGTGTCTCGAGTCTCCGACAGATATCTTAATATGTTGACTGGACGTACTGATTCTATTACCTATAGTATTATGTAGAAAATGCACATCTGAAGGTCTAAAAATTATTAGACCTAAATTATAAGAGGATTGCCCCTCACCAAACAAAAAAAGTTAAGTATAAAATTCAACATGAAAACGATTTGAAAATAATATTTAAACTTTAGATTTACGAATCTTGTCTATTAAAAATGGTAGTAACTGGTAAATAGGTATATTAATAAAAATAGTATGACCGAATATTTAAATAAATATTTTTACTAATAAATACTGTCTATGGCTTACCTATTTTAAACATTTTAGTTAACTTATGTCTTATATCCATGGACTTGGCAAGTGGTAAATAAATAGGTACCTACCTATTCTTAGAAAAATATAACTACTTTACATTTATAAACCGAGTTTGGTCTAAAACAAATGTTACTCATTCATGTTAAGAATTTATATTTTATTATGCATAACATAAATATATATTTTTTTAAATTTTCTTTCGGGTTGACAATTTTTGGGGGTCTCAGCCTTCTAAGGTAAGAGGACACAAGATCGATAAGTTAAAAGTTAAGAAATTATAAATTTAACTCAATTTAAAATAAGTTAATCTATTTTTTTTAAATTAGTATGCAAATCACATAAAGAGTGAATGTGTCTTTCTGGTTTCTAATTTATAAATTATAAAAAACAATTTTATTGAACTTTTATCATAATGTCCACTGTATACCTACCATTTTACTTTTACTTTACGTCTTTACCTACTATTATTTACTAATTTAAACTATACTCAGCTCAAATTAATAATTCAACAAATATATTTTTTTATATCGTTTAGCAATTGAATGTCATAATACGTGAAGATGAGTACATGACCTTCATATATATTATTAGTTATATAACATTAAAATTAAAAACATAAAAATTGTCAATATTTGTAATTGAAAATTATAAATTTTATTAAAAACATTTATAAATGCAACTCGCATAATATATAATTTACAACTTAATAAAATATATTAATATAGGTACACAAAATTATGTTACCTATTAAGAAAAAAAACAGAAATGTTTGTGTTTTTCTATTGGATAATTTTAATTTATACTGATATAGTAATATTTACGTATAAATGAGAAATTTCAAAATGTTTTTAACTTGTTTGATTTTTTTAAAATCAACTGTGAAAAGCTAAGTTATTTCTACTGTAAATTAAACTAGTTAAGTTCATAAGTTTATTAGAAAATAAACTAACTAGTTAATTTAAAAAGTTAAGTAAAATTAACTTTTTAACCAGTTAATGCCCACATTTGCAATTTAGTATACATTAATACATTATAATAGGTAAATGTGAGTAGGTACCTAGATGTTTGAATTTTATGTCATTTATAAATTATAATAATTACACCTTGCCAGTTGCCGCAGTCATTTACGTAATTTGATCGATCATTTCAGGTAATCATGCAATTGTTAATGAAGAATTATGAATAATAGATTATCGAAAAGTCATGAAGTAAGAGTTCATTAACTCTAAAAAAATATTTTCATGGTTCAACCAGGAGCACACAAATGTTTGTCAAATCCACACTATTATAGCGACCTAATTTCAAAAACGATAAGAAAGCTCATTCATTAATAATGTACCTACTTTTAGACTTGAGTATTTATTTCGCATAGACAATTTTTCTAATAAACATAATTCATAAAAGCTTCTATTTTACTTCCACATGTATGTGTGGAAGAATAAAGTAATTAATTTATTAGGTACCTAATAAATTAACAAAGTCATCACTCAAAAATCTATGTATCTATATTTTTTTATTTTCTCTTGTGGTTGCAATGAGGTAGAACAAAGTAGATTTGTTCTGAAGTTTGTAGTTATCTCGAAAGTCGAGACCTACCCAAGGACACGCTGGCCAAGGTGGTTTACCATAACAAATCGAGCAAATCGAGGAATGTTTTCGACTTAATTGTCCGAGCGAGTGACCCCGCTGGGTCTATGTATTACATTTGCTGTTATGGCTTTTGCAAAATACTATTTTAACTTTCTTTCGCTCATCGTCAGTGGCGTATTTAGAGGAAGGGGTCCATGGGGTCTGGATATAGACATAGAATTGGATCTACCTACTATTTATTATAATTGTGCCATTTTTACAAATTATTAATATTGATAGATTAATATTAATGACTACAATTTGCAAATCATTATGGCCCCTTATAAACAAATTACCATAGACCTTTTATCCAAAGAACACAAAGTTAAATATCTCAACAACTACTCATACGAATTTTGATTTTTCGAAAATTTCAGAAAAATTATCTACTGTATAATTTAATAATTTATAGTCGAATAGGATTTGAATTTCATTTTGAAAAACAGAATCTCTATATGACACTCCTTAAAGTAGTACAACAAATTTAAAGAATTTGGAAATATGGTCTTAAAGTATATTTAAAAATTAGAAAAAAGCAGATTTTTAAGAACTGCATTATTGAAGAAAAAAGGGAGTGAGCATGCTTGGTGAATTACCCTGTATATATATATAAACAATTATACGTTTGTTGTATTTCCTATATTTTTAAATTTCCATAAGTATATTTAATGAAGTACCTTAAATTAATGTAAAATATTAGAGCTTTTTTATTAATAAATAGAAATTCAATCAATCATAAATTTAAAAAAAAAAAATAACAAAATGTCGAATATTTGTGAATAGCACAACAAAAAGAGTAGGTGTACTTAATTTCATGTATACATAAATGGCATGAATGCTGGAATCATCAATAGTTAACCCGGCATCTACAAGCTAATGAAAACAACCTTAAATATTATATAAAATCGCTAATGAGCCATTGTCTCGTTTGTATCTGAAATACTATAATATAATATTAGATTTAATTTCTAATCATATGTTAGTGGTTTTACTTTACTATATTTTTATAATATCTTTATGGGTTAGGACATTAGGTAATAAGTACCTACTAGACTTCTCTACTATGACTATAGGTATCTACTACACATCAACAGTCTACCAACAGTTCTCAATCACTTTTTTTTTGATACAGTATTATAATGTATGTATTGGCCACCCTTAGAGAATCGCTGGTCTATACTTCCATAGGCGTAATCTGTTTGTGTGTGTGTGGGTGCCGGGAGGGAGGCAAGGGTGCAGTTGTCCCCTGACACTTCATAGCTTATAGTATGGCCAAAAAACAAAAACCACATGTTAATCCAGCCCTGAACATATTATATCATTATATATATAATACAATGGGCTTAAAGAGTCTTCGAGTGTACCATAGTAATTCAATTTACACTTAGACTTAGACTTAATATATGTTATGACCCGCTTCCATAATAATCATGATCACTAAAAGTCAAATACCTGGTTACTGAGATGATGGGCTCTTGTGCTCAGTTTTAATCTTTGGCTTTGTGTAATGGACGAATGTATACATATAAATATATAACAATATACATTGTGTATTGACTGTAGTCAATGAGTACACTGTTATGATCTTCAAAATTCAATTTATTACTGTATACTAACACCCTGTATCAGTTTATGGGTACTATACTAATAAAACACAAAAGTACAAAACCAATAGCACAACCTTTTCTTTTATTAGAGTAAAAATGTGATGTTAAGTCTGTTAAGCACAAAAAACAAAACAAAAAGTTTTATTTTCATTAAAAATCTCATAAAAAAAAAAAAAAACAATTAGATAGGTACAATATTCTTTGGGTTGAAATGTACTCGTGAACATCCATAGTTAGAAATCAAAATTAGTTTGGCTGATAAAAAAATTAACAAGAATAAAAATGAAAACAGTAAAAGTATTTTTAAGGGGGCATTCAAAATGAAAAATTGAACACATTTCTTATCAGACTCCAATTTGTATAAATTCGAATTGTAACAAATTATTAAATGAAAATTAATTAATCGTTACAGGATAAAATGGTGTTTAATGATGAATATACATGCTAAAAGGGGCTGCAAACCCTGCTAATATTGGCAGTCGGTTATCAATGGCCACATAAGTACCTCATCGAGACAATATAATTATTTATTTTATTCATTTATTTTTAACAATATTAATTGGATTTTGTACAACCACTTGGTAACATAATTTTTAGGCTAATTTTATATAATATTATAACACCTAAAGTTACTAGTCTTTTTGCATTCGTGCGTTATTCACGAGTATTCGCTAAAAATTAAACTTTGTAAATTGATGGCATTATCAGCCAAAATTAAAATATTTAAATAAAAAAAAATAATTATGTTATATTAGCATTAAATTAAGACTGTAAGTAATGAAATGTATTTCATTTTATAATAATATAGTAGGTATATTGTTATATTGTATGGCCGTAGTGCAAGCACAACGATTAATAGTGTGGCACATAATAATTCAAATACTAAGTGTACATTTATTGTCATGAGTCAATACGCTTCTTAATTTGTGAATCATTTCTATGCAATTGATGGTCTGGAGTAGCTTTTAATATGTCAGGCTGCATATTACGGCTCAGTGTACCGCTAAGTGATGCGCTGTTCTGAGCTAATGCATTCATGTAGTCGGCAATCAACAATGTTATTTCGAGGATCTATCAATCATAAAGCACTTATTAAAAATCAATTTTCATTTAAGGATTTTGAATTTACCTTTGGTTTGCTTAGAGAAAACAAAAGTTTATGGGATTCTATGATAGCAGAATCAGATGCTATAACCAACATAAAATCGTCCTGACAACCACCGAATGTCAGAACTTGCCCGAACATATATGTTTCAATAAGTTGCATTGAACGCAATTCCAACAGACTGATGCTGTCTTCAGAAACAGCCAACCATACAACAGTGCCTGGCAGCACAGTATTTTCTCCATGCTTCATCTGTTGAAAAAAAAAATAACCATGAATAATAATAGAACAATAGTAATTTATTCAGCAGTAATTTGTATCATTCATCATCACTCACTTTGGCTTGGAAAAGTGTGCATCCAAAATATGGCCACTTTCTGGTACAAGTCAAGTATATCCTAACGCAATCAACTAAATTCCTTCCTTTTAGAGACATCCATTTCTCTTGAAGACCAGTTTGGAGGTGTCTAAAATATATAATGACAATAACAATTTATTTAAATTTAAAAAAACAATATATTCAATGTGCATGAAGTTATCAGTTAATTTGCATACTTTATTGCTTCTTGGGAAGCCCCATCACGGTATCGAAATGGATAAAATTTATCAAGCGCTTGAAGTACTTGTAATTCTTTAGTAGTACCGCCACTACCACGATTTTTATCGCAATAGAACTCACCAAAATCGATCTAAATTGAAAGCAGTAGATGACATTGTTTAAGTTGTTTAAGAAATATATAAACTTAATACCATAAAAAAAATACTAAGTTGATGTGTCATACCTGTGCCATTAAAGCAGCTAACTCTAATGCAAGTTCTTTGGTAAGAGGGAATCGGCCTTGGACCACTTGTTGATTTACTTGATAGCATAGCAACAACCTCTCTCGATCAGATTCCTTCTTTACAAAAGATTTGAAGTACAGCCTGTTCTTAAAAATCAGTCGTATAATTCTAGTGTTTTCAAATTTTCCAGAACCCTTTTCTCGCAATGCGGTTTCCCATTTTGATATAACATCACACAACTATAAAATTATAAATAATTTTAAATTTATTACTTCAACAAACAAACTCAAATTGTATCTAACCTTGGCTTGGGATTCGATATAGTGTTCGAGATCTTTTTCGATGGGATCATCACTAAACAATGTGAAACCTGAATGTTGACTATCTCGGCATCCAGTTTCTTGATTAAGCGTGCACAAAAACTCTTCAATAGTTGTTGATCCATCAAAACCAACCACCTTCAAAACCAAAATAATTAAAAATAACACATACTGAGGCAATAAAAATGTATCACTGTTTTATCATAAGCAATTTTTCTATACCTGGTAAGCCCCGTTAAGCATATGAACAGGTATGGAGTGTGGCAACGAATGGTGATAAGGGTTTTTCAATAAAATTGACAGTACTTCCATTCTGGACGGTTTCACTTCTCGTGTGCCATTCAATATTGTTCGTTCAAGTGCGCGTTCACAGTATGCAGCATACTTTCCACATTCAGTCCTAGAAAAGAAATATAGTCATTACAACTCCACAGTCCACATCACTATTGTTCAATTATTACATACTTGTTATCAATATTGCGTTTTAAGTGCAGTTTGAGGAACCAAAGGAGTTTGGTGTTTTTTGGTACATATAGAGACACAGCCAGTGCCAACAATTGCCAGCCCTGAACAAACACATAAGTTGGTGGATTGGCTTTGCAGTGGTCTAGTAATGATGATGTGGCTGGGCTTGAAGGTGCAGTCATGCTGTGGTTTGGTGATCCAGGAACCACTGACTGGGTCGTGCTGATGGTGGGCGACGATGCCAGGGCAGCATCACACGTGAACAGCGACTGTGTGGCGCACAATAAAAGTTGCTGAAAAAACAGTGGACACGCGGTGCCTAAATGCCTAAACCTCTCAACTAGTGTATGTTTGCCATAATAATATAGCCCCCTCCACATTTTAAGAAATGACCCACAAACTGCAGCTTTCGTAAGAGTTAGTTATCATAATTTTTGGTCAGATCACATATTAAACAATATGTATTTCGAAATCATGCGATTACATGCACAATATTAATAAAAAAAAAAAAAATAGGATATTGCAAATAAACTGTTAAACTGAGCAAAATAAAAATACAAAATACAAATTACATTTTAAGATATAAATTAATATAATAATGCTTTATTATCAGAAAATTTATAGGGTTTGAAACGGGTTAAGAATTGTATCACAAGAGGTATACACTGTTTAAATATATTACATTTTATTAAATAACAAATTGTTAAAATAAAATAATGCAATCTATAACTATTGTTTTAACTAAATCTTACTATAACACTCAATATAAACTACAGTAACTGCTCAAAGTAGATAACTGTGAATTGTGATACAAACTAAATAGATAACAACAATTCAAATAAATTTGAAACAGCACATTGAAAATAAAATATTGATTAATATTGATGTCACACGGCTAATCCTCATGATATATTTTTATGTTTTATTAATTAATTAATTATTTTTGTTATTATTATAAATCCTATTTAATTGAACGTTAATGTTTGCCCATAAAGTTTAAACAATATCCTGTATCCATAGGTGGAGGAATAGTAGACTTATAATCAAACCAGTTTCAAAACCCTGTGATAAAAATATCAGGACAAGTGTAGACATTTTATGAGTGGACACCACGTATGCAATGTTTTTTGTTTAATTAAAATTAAAAATGATGGTTAACTGCAGAAATATCATAACAGCTGGGTTGCACAAACAATCACTAAAGAATCAATAGTGAGCTATTGAACATGTTTCTTAAACGTGATTCAGTTGCCCATGATTGATCAGTTACATTTTAGTGGACCATTAAATTAATACATTTTGTATGCAACCCGACATTAGTCACTATGCCAAGTAACTAAAATCGTATAAAATAACTATAAAAGAATTTAAAAATTGTTTCGTTAATCAGATTATGAAAGAAATTTTAAAATTATATTAACAAAATATTAATGTTATAAGAAATGGTAATTATTTAAGAATATATGTAGTCTTGGAGTAAGACTGTGATCTACAGTAGCCATCATTAAGAAATACTTAGCAAATAAACATACACCGAGTAGTTAAAAATAAGTAAATAATAATCACAATAAAAGCTAGAAATTAACAAAACAGTCAATATACATAATACAATGTTTATTGTATACATTAAAGTCGTTTAATAAATGTAAATTATATTTGAACTAAATTTATTGACTATTTGAAGTGTTGGAATAATAAATTGTGATCACATGACTGTTTTTTTAATTTCAAAAAAAGCAATGGGAAGGGGAACTTACACGATGCCGCAGTTTGGAGAATACCTGGACTCCGTGTTTATGGGATGCGTGCCTAGACGTCTGTTTGACTAAGGCACATAATAACTCAGCCTGCAGTTCCCAGTTATCCAAGCACAACTGTAATGCATTTTGTGCTAATACCACATGATAATCAATACCAGCGTTTTCGATGGCCACTGACATGAATAACTGACAACTCTAAAAGAAACAAAAATCATAAAACAATGGCATGGATATTGGATTATTTATTCAAACATACCTTGAATAATTTAATAGCTTCGTATTGTAACGATTCTATAGAAAGAGTAGTCAATGGCGTACTAATCGCTTCTTTGGAGTGCAATAGAGTTGGATGTTTCCACAACACACAATCTGAAAGAAATTATATATTGTTAATGATGACTTTTGACTTTTGTTGCAGAAAAAGTTAATAAAAATGAATTCACTTGGATCTCCAGATGCTTCCATTAGTTTTTGAATGAGCTGTTCAAATTGTGATCCAGATTGTGATCCACTACCCGAAACTACAGTAAGGTGGTATAACCAAGAATCCTGTAATCAGAATGGATAGATAAAAATAAAATATAAAATATTATACAGTATGTTAATTTTAATCAAACCTTTTCTTGTTTAGAAGACATCAGTAAATAAGTTGGAGGACCTTGATGTGATGGGTGCAGAGCTATTGTCGGAGGCTGATTGGAATCTCGTTCTTCGCTATCAGAGTCTGAAACATGGTCAACGGTTTCTACGCGGCAATCACGCATGTTTATTTGTCCAAATGCACTCTAAAATGTTTTAGAAAAAGTGTAAAATAATTAAAAAATGAAATAAAACTATTAATAATATTTAATTTACCGTATCTGTTGACGATTTGAAATATAAAAATGTCTTTCCTACGAGTACACACCAGCACCGTTTGGCATGTCCATTTCTCACTTTGGTTAACCAACCTTGAATAGTCGGTTTATTGTTTTCATTATTCAGTAGCAACTTGGTAGCATTGTGTCTTTGAACGTTCTATATGAAGTGCAACCAATATAGATTAATAAACATTATGAAAGATGAGATGAAAAAAACAAATGGAAATTACTTGTAAAACTTTAACCCAATCTTCCATGGCTGCAATTGAATCTGCTGTTAGGTAAAAAGTCTTTTTGGTTGTCGATATTTCGAACGTAGCAGCACCATCAGCTCGGGTTATTCGACATAGATCATCGATTGTGATTTCACGTTGTGGTTTTCGTGCTACATCATTCTGTAAAGAAAAATTCAATTCACAAACTTAATACCAAACCATTGGTAAAAATGATTCAAACCATGAGACTGCTAACTAGCTACACCTAACAATAAAACAAACATCGAAAACAATACGACGTCGATACAACTCAGAATAAGGTTAACAGTGGTGCAACTATGGGGAGGGGGCTTAGCCCCCAAAATATCACTCATTGATTTAGTTATGGGCCCCTATTGGTTATTTTTAATGAACAGTTTTGTGTTGGGTGCGGGCTGTAGCCACTCCAGAATCTTACGCCTATGAACGTATTATTATATTTAATAAATGTCTGGATGACAAAGTTTGGCGATGTTATTTACTTGTGTTTTCCAATAACGAAGTTTGCCGTTGCTCAGCACGAAGAATCGTCGTCTCCACGTCTTCAACTTGCCACCGAGCTTGGCTAAATGTCCGGATTTGTCGAGTATGCCCGTTTTGGCGCACCTGCTCGGGCTGTCGGCGACAACCGCAGCACCGTTCAAGTTCAACCTGAGCACCAACGACGACCACTCCGTGGAATCTTCACCGCACGACATCGCGTCTGGCGGGATCGCGTAGTCGTCCGATATTCCCGACTCCATCGAAGTATCTGCGGCAAACATCGTTATTCATTATTAGTCGTAAGTAAGTCCCACCGCCGCCTGGATAATATTTCATCTAGGCGTGAAACATAATGGAACCCAATTCATACTTTTCGACGGCGACCCGGAAGAGTTGTGTTTGACCGGCGAGAACGTCGACGCGGTCTTGTGACTCTTGCTGGGACTGGAACTGGACAGCGAGGTGTCCGTGTTGTCGGTGCTACTGCTGTTCGTGATCCTGGTTGCCACGCTGTGCGTGTTTGCAGTGTTAGTGTGCTCCCCTTCGCCGTCACTTGAGTCGTCCGACGAGTCGCCGGTGAACGGGCTGGACCTGATTTGACTGGCTCTCTGCATAAACATACATACAAAAAAAAATATTTTTAAAAAAATCATAAAATTATCTAAACGACTGTTCGCCGAAAAAAACGAAAGAATGGTACTTGCTATGTATCATATAGTTACCCCCCCCCACACACACACACACACAAATAATAAAAACATAGGACGTATAGTGAATCAAAAATGCATAGTCTTGGCCCATAATAATTACAGGTTGTTGGAAAAGTTATGACATATTAAAAACTATGTATCTTTTACGAATTTTCCAGTAAACCACAAGTACAATTTTGTTGACCCTTGCAGACTGGCATTCACCCAATTAAACGATTGCTGAGGTCAGCGAAAATGAAAACGAACGGTGCACACAACCGACTACGATTTAGCCCCCCCCCACAAAAAAAAACCCTTATTGATTTAGATAATATAAGTTTCCTATGGGTTATTTCATATTAATATTTTTGTTACGTGGGCTGTAGCCCCCTCCCCCCCACATCTACAATTTTAAACCTAGTATTGCTAGATATGTGCTAACTGTAAGAATTTATACTCACGCCTTTCACAGTGGCGTACACCGGAACGCTTATATCGCAATACCCTTGCGACGTCACAACTCTGGTCGGATGCACAACGGCGGCGGTGGTGGAGGAAGAAGTGGCGACCGCGGTCGAGGTCGGCTCCGTGGGCGCCGCCGAAAGGCCTTCGTTGGCGACTTGGTAGATCCGAGATTCCCAGGACGGGAACCTGTGCAAAGGCGGCGTCGGGGGCTTGTTGCACGCCTTGTCCCACGGCAGTTTTTCCCGGCTAGGCGTGTAAATCTCCGCGTAGTCGTGAGCGATGTCCGACTCGATGCACACGGATTTCGCTGTAAACATTAAATTGCCAAAAATGGTGTCGGTTGTTTTACGACGCATTATAATATATGCTTGTAACAATAGATCATTACACATTAGATTATAATATCGTGCTCACGTAGAACGCGTGCAATATTCGCGCAGAGGCGTCGAAAGTGGTTTTTGGTGGTAGTGTTATGTTTCTATCTGGTCAGACAGTGCACGTAAACACCGTAATCTTTTATGTTTTTCAAAATATGCGTATCTAGGTACATATGGCAATTATTAGGCGCCTCTGCTTGTACGTGCGACCTTATGGTTTTATACTTGTGTACCTGTCACCCATATGTTTAAACGCAACCCAAAATCGCAAAAAATATACCAACACACATAAGGGCGAAAATGTTGCCTTTTTAACAACCCATATACGAAAATAATAAGTTATTATATACCTACAAATGGTTTAGTTATTTGATCTGAACAATTAGTTAAAAAATAATTATGAAAAGAAAATTGAGTTTTAAATTAAGCCGGTAGGTAGGTGGTATAAGCATATAATTATATTTTTCATATAAATAATGATATTTTAAAGTTCAAAGTTTATAATAATTTGAGTACCCACCGTAAAATTAAAATTTAAATTGAAAGCTCTATGTTGATTATATAGTAATAATGTACCAACTAAAGCATAATAGGTTTTAATATATTATACTCATAGATAATAAAATCGAATTCTACGATTTTCTCTCATTGTTAAGGCGCAAAAGCGGAAATCGGATTTGAGCTTTTGGGCACCTACTGAAGACGGTATAATATAGGTACCACCGATTGTGACAAATATGATAACATTCGTCGTGCGAACGTTAAACATATCATAAGACATAAAATTGTATTTTATGAACTCACGTCTAATCGCGGAGTTGAGGTTGAGCGAATCGGCGGCGGTGGTCAGATCGTTGACCAACTGTTCGTGGACAGGCATGTCCGGGCCGTCGGTGGACTCGGTGGTCGGCACTTGGACGCAAGCGGACATGTGCCGGCGGTGAGTTCGCTGCGACCGTTCGGGCGTCCGATTCTTGTGGTGCCGGTCCACCTGGGCGTAAACTGGTTCGTTGTCGGACAGGGCGCTAAATATGCGAAAGACAGACAGTAAGTATGATAATTTTGTACAGTAATCATAAGGCAAAGGCATCATCAATTAATATTTTTGAACGGCCTCTTTAGGGAATTCAAAAAGTTAATAAGGGCCGTCAAAATTTAATGCGTCCGTGTTCATCCAAAGAAAGTAAGGGCTAAATTAAAAAAGAAAATTAATGAAAACCTTATTCACCATCAAAAAAAAAATTTTAAAAAATGTTCTTGTCTACAGATACATTATGTTCCAGATATGAGGTTCGTCTACCAGGAGGGAGGCTGTTGGACCTGGACTACAGAAACCTGTCTATTCTAATTTTTGAAATTTTGATAGAAATACATATTTTATAGTAATTTTCTTATTTTAAACTATAGCAGGTTAACCATTTATTAAATAGAAACCGTGTACGGGACACCTATTTCGCTTCTAACGGTTTGTATTTTTTTGGAAGTTTTGTACAGCGCAAGCAAAAAAATTTAGTATATGGACCCAACAGGCAACATTTGATGTGGGTGGCCTGGATGTAGCATATTCCATCATGATGTCATTCAGTAGGGGAATTTTTCACTCACTGTGTAGAGCCAGTGCTGTTGGCCCTGTGCAAGGACGATGTACTGGTGCGCGGCGAAGACGTCCCGGCACAAGCACTAACGGCCATTTTGTCGGCGCTCAGTTGGGCCATGTGTCGTCTGAGCAACTCCAACTGCTGGTTGCACTTGTGATTCTGCTCTCTAAGGTGTTGGTTCTGAGCCTCCAGGTCTCTCAGTTTGTTGGTCACCCATTCCTTGATGCGTGCCGCTTTGGCTTCAACCATTTTGGCATCCTGGAGCCTCAGCTGACGCTATATAGTATATAAGCACGTGTCAATCATACGTCATTAATTATATTAATTATAGTATTGATTTTTGGTCACAAGTCATACCTGTTCCTCAACCTGGGTCGCCAGCTTGCTAATAGCTTGTTCCTTTTCCGCCTGATCGGGTTGATGAGTAGTCCATTCGGCTTGAAGCCGTTCCTCCATAACACGCACCTGCAAGCAGAAAAACGCAAATAATTATGAATGTAAACAAAAACTGAATAAAACAAAACTGTGTCTCGAAATTCACACACTCCCACCGTCTTCTCCCCACCCAACGAAAACTCTGATAACAACATGTGGGTATTAATGCTATAGGTACCTGCACCAGAAGTAGAGTTCATTGGCTGCAATGACGATGATGACTATATTATATCATAAACATACACGCCGAGAGGTCAGACCGAAATGACGAATATTGTGTTTACTGTTTAATAATATGGTATTAGGCATTAAAAACTATGACGAAGCTGACTCATGCATACGACGCGGCGGCGACACAATGCACTGTATAGACTAGCCGTCTGGCATGCGTATATCCCTCCCCACCGCAGCCGCAGTTCCCATGCACACTTCACACACCCTAACCAGGTCAATACAAAAGGGGGTACACTGCACACACACACACACAATGTCACAATGGATCAGGGTCATGCACCCCTCGCGTCCAGTATACACGATATATCTAGTATACATTATACTGTCTATCGATTTGTCGAGTAACGAAACGATTATATATATATATATATGTGCATCGTAAACTCGGGGCATATGATTTGGTTGTTTTCAGTGAACTTTCCCAGCGAAAATAGCACCGATTTTATATCAACTATACGTCTATCGTGACATCTAAAATCAGCGGAGAGCTGTCTAAAAGTATATGTATAGTAGGGGGGAGCTGGTTGGCTAAGACCTTGCAGTAGTTTTAATCCTTGAGGACAGCAGCAATACTAAAAAATACGTATAATATGCGTTTCATGACCAATATAAAATGGAAAGCTACAAAGCTACAGTGACTAATATAATATTATGTATATATATAGGTATAGTATAATATATAATATGCATAGTGCATACATGTGTAATGTATTCATGATGTAAACACAAACAGTACTTATATACGTATAAAATAATGTATAAAACCATGGCGTGTATACGCGTTTACTCTTTGCGTTGAGGATTAGCCACGCGCACGATGACTTAGAGACTGTTTTTTTTTCTTAATGTATTCACTCGCGTATCCGTACATACACAATAGACAGTAAAAACCCGATATTGCATAATATTATTGATTTTACCATATATGACACGATATACCTATACATTTTATGTATAAGAACGTTCAGGCGCCGTAATATAATCCAGAGTAAAGAAAAAAAAAATATGAGAACCGACCCCTCTGCTGCTGCGGAAAGCATAAAACGGCTAGGCGGAAAACGCGTGTAAAATATAGTGTGTACCTTCTTCCGGCCATAATAATACCTATGCTGTGTGCATCCGACTTATGCAGAATATAGATCCGTTAGTAATGAAAATATATATCGTGTAATATATAAGTACCGCGGTAGGAGTTGAGTGGACAAACTAAAAAAAACCACCTATAAACACCACCTATTTGGACGTGCGCCAGTGCATTTTCGATCGGACCACGCGCTCGCAGTTCGTTATGAAATTTTCGTTCTTTACGAGTGATTTCGATATAAAAAAAATATGTAACTACGCGGAGCAGTGTTTTACAGTGACGCAGTCGTTCGAGTGAAACGTGTTTAACGTACCTGCCTACTGTATTTTATTATAATAAGGTATATACTAGTAAATATTATAGTCTCGTATTGTTTACCCGCAGTATAGTTTTTCGCACGTTTCCGGTCTCGACGTTTTCGTTAGGTAATTTTACGTATTTATATTAAAAAGTATTATTTACACATTCCGCAGAAGAACGCGGCGACCATCGCGTACACAATATTATAATATGTTGTCAAACACGCCGCTGCAGCTATCGATCGATATTCGCGAAACTGCCGTGCGATCCACGGCCCTCGGGTATAATTATAATAAAACACACACAATATCGAACACCTAATATGATATTATGATGTTCGTATCATGCCTATAGGCAATAATGCGAGCAACACAGTGCACATAATATTACGGGTACATCTCGACGCGACTTGACGTGATAACATTATTACAATACTTATATATAGTGATGTGCGTATAATACCTGCTGCAGAAGTAGTACCTGCAGTCGTCATCGCGGCGCGTGCGGTAAATCACAAAAAAAAATCGCCTACCTTATCCTTTCGTGCGGCGGTGGTGGCGGTGACGTATGGCCGCTGTCGGTAATCGGACGACGTCAGAGCGGGACGAGGCGAGCGACCGCGGCCGGCGATCGGACATGGGACGAAAGTCGAGCGCTGCCGTCGGGGGCGGCGAAGCGACACGCGGCGGTCGCGGTGGACGCGCACACACGAGACGCGAAAAAATGGGTAAAACGACGGAAAAAAATAAATAAATAGTACGCGCGCGATAAGAGAGACCGACATGAGATATCACATGATGTGTATATCGCAACAATATATATTATTGTGATACGTTTTCGGGGGTTGGTGCGCAGGCGCGACTGCCGGAGTCGCGCATAACGCACCGCGTGCGGAAGAGGGGCGGAGGCTCTGTAGTACGAAACATGTGACCGGACGCGGAAAGGGGTGGCCGCCCCCCGAGTGTGCACGCCGTATATATATATATACTACTTTACTATACTACGCGGGTGCGGATGTGGATGAGGTGCGCGAGAGGAATTAAAAAATCAATGCCCCCCTCGGAAACCCGCCACGTTGCCAACGGCAACACGCGCGCCGTCTGTGCCAAAACCATATACCTACGTAATGTTTTAACTTATTGCCATTCTTACTATATTATTGCTATTATTATCATTATTGTTATTATTTTTATTGTTGTTGTCGTTTTTTATAGCAGGTACATAAAAAATAATATAAAATTGCACCCGTAACTTAACGTGTAAGAGCGGACTTAAGGGTCCTACGCATACACACATATTATATATATATATATATATATATATGGTATGCACGACCACACGTGTTTGCGTATTGTTGGATATAATACGACTGCGTGTCGACATATGTATAGATAGATAGCTACAAACGAGTTGTGTCCGGTAATTGTTCTTAGATTACACGAGTTGTGCTCTGTATTGGTTTCCAGGATTACATAAATTATTGTGTCAGCTGTCAGGTAGTTTTTTTGAGGCATGTTTTCGTCAGAGCTCCTCAAAATGATGAAAGTATATTTTATCAATATATAAATATAAGCCAGTAAAATAAACAGGTAATTATAAAATGAAATCGGTCACACGCATAATTAGCAGTAAAAATATAACTTTACAAAAAAGATTAACAATAAATTATATTATGTATACAAAATAGGTAAGTATGTCTTATTTATTGTAAATAATCAGAAATACTGTTTCAAGAGTAGAATTTTTTTTTTGGAAAATCTGTTCTTTGGTACAACTGGTTACCATTTTTTAATTTAGAGGGAGTTGTTGCTAATACATTTGTGTATGATCATATTATAAGGTTCGTTATATGATGTTTAAAATAATCCCAAAGTTCTAAAATTTGAAATTTATTTAATGGATAATTCATGTTATAAACCATAATATGTTTCCGTTAGAACACAATTCGTGTATCCATATAGTTTTTGAAGGGACACAACTCGTTAACAGCGGTAGGATACTAGAGGTATAGTGTTCCACACCCTCCTATCATCGAATTCCGGGGCTCGTTTACCGGTATCGCGTTTAATCGCCGTCCCCTTTCATGTAGACGTTTTGTAATAAATAATAATATTACATCATAAACCGAAATGTTTAAGACCGTCTCCTCGTCCTAATGCCATGGATTATAAATTATAATCTACACACAAAGTACACAATGCCGTCGCGTAAGACACGTGATTTTAGGCAGACCCGGCTCAAGGGACCTATAGTATATTATAGACCACCTTAACGCGCGTACATAGTCAGTATAGTTCTATACGATGTGGACATCGAGTTTCTGAGTATAGAAATTAAAAAGACCACGATACCCCGGTTACATGGGAAAATCGAAATATTATTGTTATTCCTTCGGCTTCACGATATTGTACCGTTACTATCCACGGGTAAGAAATAACAAAATATTTTCTATCCGACTAGGTGCGTACACGTCATATCAACAGAAAAGTCGAGAATCGCGACCCCTGCAGTGATGATCAACGGGGTCCAAGGTCAGTGGAATAATACTATAGTTTACCACATGCCGCGAATCAGAGCTTCCCCTCCCCCTCCGAACAATCAAAAGTCGATAGACCACTATAAATATTAAGGGACCACAAATCATTTTCTCACCCAAACCAATTTATTTGGTTATAAGATGCAGAACAGTCTGCATTGCGCGACCAGGTGTCGCACAATCGGGGAGAAACCACCGAGGTTCACGTGTAGAGGCCGCTGCAGGGTTGGTTCCAAGTCAGTCGTCGTATATTCGTGGCATGCACGTCATATATATAGATATACACTATATAGAAGATCTTCTACTGATGATAATACACGTCGTCGGGATCGTAATATGTCGGTAGCGGTCGTGATGTTGTTGTTGAAGGCTTTTTCGGCGGATGAGGGAGGGGCCGATGGGGTTGAATACATTTATAGAGATAACAACAAATCGCAACTGTATGATATATAATGTCGGGGTTTTTTTTTTTGAACTCGTCGACTCGCTTTTACGACGCGAAAATCTCGGGAGTCATCGCACTGCAAGTAAACCGATAACGACGAGATGATGACCGATGTATTATTATATAGGTAGTCATATAGATAGTATATTTGTGTACAATACACATAACACACACGGCTAAACGTAATTCGTTTTTCGTCGGGTGACAGCCGCCGTCGTCAAAACTGCGCGAATCGATAAATGGAAGAACAAAATGTAAATGCGATTTTATTACATAAAAAAAAACCCCAACAAACCCCTTTTCATCCCAACCGCTGTCGAGGCGTAAGTATATATATATATATATGTGTGTGTGTGTGTGCATATAATTATTTATGGATTTCACACAATGAAGCGCAAAGACTTTTTTTTAATACATTAAAGGTAGGTGCG